AGGGTTAGAGCGCTTGATCTAGCATGACATAAGCTATTTCGTGTGTAACGCATATGTTTATATCCCGTTTGGGTGTGATGCACTGCCCCCTAAAAGTGCCGCGTGATAGATGTGTTGGAGAAACATGGGGGCCAAATCAGCGTACGACAGGCATTATTTGGGTTGCTCTCCCATGACAAAGGCCAAATCTTGGGGAAAAGGGGGCGTTAATGGCACGCATAGATGCAGACTCTGCCATCAGCCACCCATAACTTTTATGACGCCTCCAATTCCTGGGATCTCAGTCAAGCATGACGGCTCCGGCTGCCTTTGCCCGATCCCACATTCGGTCTTCTTGACTTTGTCTTGGCACCGGGCTTTGACGGGTGAGAAAAAGGAGAGTACGGTTGATACAATCCAACTCTACTATCACTTAAAATTAATCTACACGTAAATCGCTGCGTCTACCTTCAGCCTGCCACGCGGTGGACATAGTCGAAATGAACGGTCGAAATGTCCGGTTTGGCGTAACAAGACCAGGCGCAATAATGGTCCTTCTCGCGCACTCACAACCCAATTTGCTGGATTTCGTAGTGCCATAAACTGCGTACAAGTGCTTAATGAGTACTGACCGTAATCACGCGCTTGCCAATCAAGTTTATTTACGCCTTATGTCTACAACTTCATCTTTCTTTAGGTCCTAATGACATAAGCTGTGAATGGCTGGCTGGCTGGCTGGCTGGCCTACTGCGTGCCGATTTAAGTCACTCCATCTGTATCGAATCCTGTGACTAAACTCAGCGGTTGACTATTTCCATTCACCAAACTCACTTCCAAATTCTGTTTTAGGACGCCTACCACTGAATCCACGAGTTACAGCCCTCTCCGACTCCGCTGACACTTTCTCAGCCAAATCAGAACTTTCCAAGTATGCCGTGCCATTGATTGCTACGGTTGCTGCTCTTTGTTCCTGATTATAGCCAGCGCGGCGTTCTTGGTTTCTTCCGATACTCTTCTGTAAAAACGTTAACTTGTACATATATAGCTGTATATGACACTTTAAGCTGTCTGGCTCTTTCAAATTTTTTGTCATCTACGACACCCACTGGGTTTGGAA